CCTTCTTTGTGAATACTTTCTCAGGCCTTGTCTCCTCTAACTCCTCTCTTCTGCTTGTTTAGATAGATAGATAGATAGATAAATCGATAGATAGATATAGATATAGTCATATATATAAAATCTGATCCTCACAATCCTATCATCCTCATTTTATAGATGGGGCAACTAAGGCTAAAGAGTTTAAGGGACTTGTCCAGAATCATATAGCTAGTAAGCTTCTGTGGCAGGATTTGAACTCAGGTCTTTCTGACTTCAACTTTAGTGTTCTATCCACTGTGCCATGATCTCCAAAGTCCCTTCCAGGTAAAAGATTCCTTGAGCAGATCACAGTTAGGTAGGATTTGTGATGTCATCCCAAGTTATTCCTACTCCCCACTGCTCTCCTAACCAAGATGAGGCTCTTGAGAAATGTCAGGTTTAGAAAATTCACCACAATCACCAAGCTGCAACCAAGTGGCTGATCACCAAGCAGACTGGGATTGAGATGAAAAGCTCGCTGTTCTTCATTGGGCTCCTACTTGAAGCCTAGCCAGTTTCTTAGGCTTGTTATTTACTGAAATAAAGGGAATAAATAGAGCAATCATATGAGACAATGAGTATTAGAAATACAAAGAGGGCTGAGGCCTTAAAATTTGAGTCTGACGCTCCCATTTCCCACCGTCTCCTACTAAATACCCTTTTTGTGAGGTGTGTGCTGTAATGTACGGTTCATTGCTTCAGACGGTATGACCACTATCTTCTGGACCCTGAGATATTCAAGATCTCCAAATGTAATCGCTACAAGTTAATAAGGTTACTGAAGCATATCTGAATCAGACTGGGAAGAAGCATTAAAAAGTGGCTACTTAACATTATGAGAAGTGGTTCTTGATCTTGGCAAGGGCAAACTTCACTCTCTCTTTCGCATTATCTTACCTTTCTTTAATTAATTATATGCCAGCTCATTTTCTTCTTTCCTTTCCTTTGTTGACTCTATACTAGTCCTTGTCCAGAATACAATGTACCGAAATACAAGTTCAAGGAGAGGGCAGCTTGCATACTTCAATCAAGATTTTTTTTTTAAATAATCATGAATTGGCGGTCTCTCGTTTTAGCTGTTTATCCCTGTCCCAAGAACAGGAAGGGATTGAGAGGCTTGTAACGTGAGTGAATTATTATGGGAATGATACTCATTGTTCCTACCCCTCTCACCTCAAAACATATTGTTGGCAAGAGGAGAAAGGTGAACACTCGGGCATAAGTGATTAAAAACAGGCACAGATCTGGTCTTTAAGCCTCAAATGAAAGGGAAGAACACAAAGGTGTTAGGATGGGGTGTTTGATTTAATGAGGCAGTCTTATTTAAAGACAAAGTGATGTCTGTAGGTTTATCCAGAAATCAGAGGTAGACTTTTCAGTCAGTTAACTTGGCAATGAGGCTTTCAAGGTTTTCAGAAAGAGGGAAACCATGTTAATATTTATATTATAGAGAGACAGCAAGAAGGGAGAAAAAGAGACCCAAAGAGAGGTCATCTTCACTAGGAAAGAAAGGTACTTTCCTCGGGAAGAGTAGAGTGTAAGCCCTTATCATGAAAGGAAGCTGCTGAGAGGATGAGTCAAGGTCCTTAAAGAGGAAACACATCTAAGAGGAAGGGAGAAAATAAAAGGCACAGAGATGGTTTGGAAAGATTTTTTTTTAAATAAAATTACAAATTTCCATCAAACTCCTTATCTCCCTTACGTAAGAATTTCTGTTTCTCCCCAGAATGAAGAGCTGAAAAGAACTGAAAAGTTCACATTACTCCAAGAACTTTTCTTGGATATGATAAAGGCTATATAGGTCACCTCTCTCCATGGATAATAATGTTGAATAATAAAACTAAATGGAAAATTCCACTATCAACTCAGTAATAGAAATACAGTGATTACATGCTTAGAATATGAAAAAGCTGCCACTACTTGCTCAAAAAGAGCTTACTAACTAGTCTTGCAAAATACAACACTTATTTAATTTGAGACAAGATTTAGAAGGTCATTTAGAAAAATAAACATTTTTGTTGTGCAATGGTCATTGATTTGGTACATATATTTATGATCTGCTGACAGTCATGAGTTTAATAGTACTTTCAGCACAACCAAGAATAAAACAAGATGAGCCAAAAGGAGGGCTCCCTGGGGTCACTAATAAAAATCTAGCTTCCTAGCTATCATCAAGCATCAACTGGCATTTCCTGGCCTGCCCCAAATGTTTCCATCAATTATTTATAATGTTTCTTAAAAAAACCAAACCTCAGGTACACACATGTGGTATAGACAGTCTAATGGGAAAGGTATTCATTTAATCTTTCTCTCATATAATATTTGAACATATATAATAGTGTAGTCTGTTGTGAAAGGCAATCGGGCACTAAAGCTACTTCATGGTTCACTTTTAAAATCCTTTTTCTGTCCTTTCTTACAGTTCCTGAATCTTGTGGACTTAATTTTCAGAAACCACTGAATATTTGTCACCAGTCAAATGTATGATTAACTCTGGTGCCAAGCACTCATAACCAGATTGAATGCCTCCTTTGTGAAATATGATCATTCCCAATGCCCAGAATGTAGTGCTAACTGGCCGAGAAAAGGACTCTCTCGTAGGATGATTAACACATAAATACCCTTGAAGAGAGCCAACACTGTGCCACAAACCAAAAGAGAAAAAAAAAAGCACAAAATAAAATACAGCTCCTTAAAGCAGAGTGGTTTTCTATATGAGTTAAATATCAGTCTATTTTCATTCAGTATTTACCTGCTCTTAAAAACCTGAATCTATATTTAAAATTTAGAACACAAAAGACAAATACTACTTAAAACTTGAGTAAAACTACTTAAGTTATACTACTTAACACCACCACCCTTATCATAATGGTTGCTATTCTATCTGCCTTGAATTTAAACAGAAGAGTGATGAAAATGGCATTTACTAAATTTCTAGTTTGGAGAGCTCACTGAATTGATGCCATTTCCACAGTAAACTTTACTGAATGCTAAGAGCCCTTTCAGTTTTAAATTTGATGATTTTAAAATTCCAAAAGAACACATAAATACATGGACCTGGCCATAAATCTTAGGGCCACATGGCTTGGGGCAGGGACATGCAGGGCAGAAAATAAAAGTAATGAATGCTTTTCTCTCTGCTGTGCCAAATTCTATATCCTCACTCCCAGATTTAGTCCATGGTTGGTGAGCCACTAACCATAATTTGTACAGTAAGTTTTCATTTATTTATACACAAAAATTTAGTATTTATAATCCTTCAGATAATAGCAACGCTAAAATTTGTGATGCCATCAATAAAAGGTTATTTATGATAAAAGTTTGTAGGGGAAATTATTATATTCTTTAAGAGAATAAGATATCTGCAAGCACATCAGGCACATAGTTTATAAATTAAAAGTTAATTTCAAATTATTAATTACTCATTACAGGAAGTTCTTTAAGAGGCCTTTCCTAACTGACACTGAATGAATGAATGAAAGAATGAATGGCCGAATCAATTAATTAATTAATTTTGGGAAAGTTGTTTAAGTGTTTACTATGTCCAAAAAAAATTCTGCTAAGTTCTGGGGATACAGATAGACAAGAGAAGTTACCTACTCTTTGTTAGCCTCATGCATTCAACTTGCTATACTTACATGAAAATAACAGAAAGCTATACACACATAAAACTATATTAATATATGTAAAATGTCCAATAATCAATTTTTCACTATTTCAAACTGAAATTTCCTTTTATTAGCCCATGCCAGTAAGCCTTAACTACATACATACATATGTATGTAAGTATGTATGTATGTATGTAGGTAGGTAGGTAGGTAGGTAGGTGGGTGGGTATTATAAGCTACAAGTCAAAAATAGTTCATTTCAAGATAATGGAGACCTCATTTTTGAATTGACAAAATTTACTAAAAAAATTTAAACGATCGAGAGAAAGATATGTTCTGAATATTTGATGGATAGAAATAAAATTAACTCTACTTCTTACTATAATCATAACATGTACATATAGGAATTTATTTGCACGTGATTTTAATTGGTCAGGACCAGTGATTTCATGGAATGCCAGGTATGGAGATTATAATTATTAATGAAGACTGGCAAATTATCTGCAATTCATAAGCCTAGGGAATTATTCACGACATGCAGAGGTTATGACATGGTCATGGTCATGGAGCCAGTGAGTGTCAGAGGAACAGCTTGAACCCAGGCCTTCTTGATTCTCAGGTCCTCTGCTTCAGTGTATGTGTATTTATGTACATATGTGTGTTAGTCAATCAACAAGCATGTTTTAAGTGTTATAGTTCTGTATCACTGCTCCCAATGTCCTTTCACCACTCCATCTTTCAAATTACTTTCCATCTTCCACACAAAAAAACATCTTGATAAACTTTCTATGATATGATCCCCTTCCCCTTACCCCTCTAATCAGAAGTCATGTCGATTTTTTCTGCCTCTACCATGTCAGTTTAGAGCTCTTCTGTAATGTTTACTGCTGTATGACCTTATTGCCAAGTATAAAAGGTATTTGGAAACATATACTAATGACCCAACTAGACTGTAAACTCCTCAAGATTGGGGATTTTGTCTTGTTCACTTCTGTCTCCTCCAAAAGTGCTTTTTTGTATATAGATGATACAGAGTTGATTAAATAAGTCTACCTGCATAACTTCCAATAATTTGCTTTAGAAATACAAACATATGGATATTTTGATGAGTAACAGAATTTTAAATGTAATATTTAATGCAAACTTAAATCAAAGCCAGATTCCAATGTAATGACAGAGAAGTCAGAAGTAACCGTTTGTTTTATCTCTTTAATTAAAATAATTTTTCTTAGAAAATAAGCCAAATATTCTCAAGGAAAAGGTTGCTTTGAATTCTTTTTGTACATTAAAAATAAAAAGTCAATTTTTTCATGTTTATGTCAACAGTTGGAAAATACAGATAACTAAAATGGACTGTTATCTTAGAGCACTTACCATTATGTCTCCCTTTAGGAGCTGGGCTGGTTCAATGGCAATGCAGACTCTGCTTTGGTTTTCTGGACCAACATTGCTAAATAAAGGAAGGACATAAACATTAAAGTGATCCTGTGGATTCTAAGGCTGTGAACATTCTTTTCCTGGTACTTTTGGTTGCCAGTGGTAAGTCAGAGCATTGTGGGTAACAAAGAACCGAAATAAATAGCACTGTTTTTAATCAGTGGGCCCCAATTGTCTAAAAGTCTTCTGTGTATTTTTATATTCTTTCAAATTTTCTTATCCCTAGTTTCTTATAGTAGTACACCCTCCACCCCCACATACTTTGCAACAAGTATTTGGCATGCCGTTACCCATAAAGCAAAATAAGGCCTCAAAGAAAGAAGATAGACAGGGAAGAGGGAGCACAAGGAGGCATAGATGGATGGATCACTGAGGATATTGTTGAGGGTCATTTACTTTTGGCTTTCCCCTTTCGTAATCTCTATCTTAAGAAAGAAAGCATGTAGGTAAAGTAATCATTTTGCATGGCTTCCCAAAAAAATCCCTCAAGAGCCGAAGATATTCACAGATGAAAGATCATGAACACTTACTAGATTCCTGACGTATAGACTGGCTGCATTGCTTGGTACAGCTTCAAAAATGGTCGGCAAACTGAAAGAACCAAAACGTTTGGGGGAAAAAAAATCAGACTGATTTGGAAAGAAACTTTTGAACTAGGAAATCATGCAAGCTAACAAGAAAGATCAATCAGCAAGGAATTATCCCATGCAGGGGGATTTCACAAGCCTTCTGCATATGTGCACAGAGTATGTTTCCAGTTCTACAACAATAGACTATAGAAGGTGGGGTTAGGTGGGGAAAGGTAGCATCACATCCTGGAACACTATGTACAAGGCAGGGCAAGGAGGGTTTCCAAGGTTTTTTCAGATGTGCCCAATGGTAAAAAGGGTGGAAGAACATCTTAATTATCAGCCAAGAAGGGAGAAAATATTATAGCTTACTAAAAACGTGATTTTTTCATGATCTAAATTATACCCTGAGAGTGATGAAAATGTCCTAGTTTCCATACAATTATGGGGGTACTAATATGACGGATGTGGGCTCATCCATACTCACTTTTTGCCAGATCTCCCTTGTAGCCAAAAAAGCATAAAACTGTTACACAGCTGTCTAGGGAGAGGAGGTTAATATATGCCCACTGAAGAAAAGAAAACTGACTCAAAAAAGACTTAACTTGCACTTCATGTTACTGAACTAATTGACCACAAGCATAGCTTACTAATTAACCCTTCTAAGACGGAGTTCAGAATCGCTCACTGGCCTAATTCTTCAGATGAGCAAGCAGACCAAATCAAAAGGGCATAAAAGGAATGGAGTGCTGTTCTCACACAGATGACACCAAGAAAATATGCAGAACTCCGTAGGATTTGATTCTGGACATTAACCACTTGAACCTCAAAGAGCAGAAAAGTGAGGATTGTTTTTAGTCTGAGTAAAGGAATTCCATCATCATACATTTCAAAAGATCTGTGGTTTTACTAGTGGGATTTACTCATCTCACCAATGCAGACTGCAACCCCTCCTTGCCTTATTAGACAGATTCTTAGGATGTTCTGGCCAAAAATAAAATTATTACCTGGCAGCCAACCTTCTGGGAATAAGCCTCTTAAACCTTTGTTGAACAAGTTATTGGAATGACAAGTTGATTGCCAGACCCATGCACAAAGCTTTCAAGATTGGCAGGAACTGACTAACTGTACATTTAACAGACATAACTTTCAAGAGCCCAATTCACCTCCACACAATAATGAAGAATCAAATAAGGCTTTATCGGAGGTAGGTCTACCATCTATTTTTGTCTGTATCTGTGATTTCATCAGCGTAAGGAACTACTTCCAACACTGAGGATCAGCAACCTCTTTGTAACTTAGTCTTTAGAGTTTTATCAGGGAAAATATGGGGTTGCCCATCACAGCACAGCCAGTATATCAAAGGGTAGGCCTGACTTTTTCCATTATGCAACATTGCCTGTCCCACCATACTTATTACATCTAAAACATGAGTAATAAAACATCCTCCTAGATATGGTCCCCACTCACTTACCTCCACCAGTATCAAAGTTGGGAATGCCATGGAGAATTACAAAGTGCAAAAAGAGTGGTGTGGTATTCATTTTCACAGATCCCGAGAGAAGACCACTGAGGAAGTGAACATATCTGAAAACAATGTAATATTCCAATTAGTTAGAAAATGTATTGGGTTCCAAAAACCTGAGTAAATTTGGGAAAGGGACTTTGGAAAAATAAATAAGTTCTTGGCATAACAGAGAAAGGTATAATGACAGCAAAGTCATACTGTCTCATTCTTCTTGCAGTTCTAAGAGTAAACATAAGTAAACTCATCTGTTCTTGCAAGTGAAATTCTGTGGAATTCAACTGTTGCCTGAAATATATGTTTTTTCCAACTTCTCCATGAGAATTCTTGACTGATCTGCTATCATTATAAATGATCATGTATATAAATGAAAATTTCAAATATCTGACCTTTATTTGCCTAAGCAACAAATTAAATATATATCTATAGATATATCTATAGATATATCTATAGATATCCACATATCTATGTCTATCTATCTATACACACACATACTGTTTGGGACAAAAATATTTCTAATATAAATCAAACTCCCGATTTTATTAATCTAAATATATTGAGAATGATTAACCACTTTATGATGACTCAGTCTCATTTGTATTAACATGAATAATTATTGAGATGCCCAAAGATATTTTACATATGTATGTGTGTGCATCTCTGTGTGTGTGTGTGTGTGTGTGTGTGTGTGTGTGTGTGCGTGTGCGTGCATATATCTGTCCCTTCCCTGGAAGTAGCTTGGTGGTACAGTGGAGAGACAGCAATGGACCTGGAGTCAGGAAGACCAGAATTCAAATGCAGACTGAAATACTTTCTAGCAATGTGACCCTAGATAAATCACTTAATTATTATGTGACTTAGTTTCTTTATTTATAAAATGAAGACAGTAATAACACCTTCCATCAAAGATTACAGTTAAGGATAAAATAAGATCTATAAACTATTCTGCAAACCTTAAAGTACTATATACATATTTAAATGTTACATATTATTATTACCAAATAACTTCTGTTTTATTAATATTTACAGTCCTATCTTTAGACTGATACATTATTAGTAGACTAAGAATAATCAACATACGTCAAGGATCAGTAATTTTGATGAAATGGGGAAGGTGCCCTACAGAAACACACATCAAGACCCAACTCTTAATGTAATAGATTTAGGAAGCTATATGAGGCTCAGAGAAGTCAAAGAAAAGTCCATGGTTGAATAGCTAGTAATGGAAGTAGTACAATGACATTATTATATATTACATTTATTATATTATATGTAATAAAATAGAATGTAATGTTAAATGATAGGGTTTCAAAAATCTTGTGGCTTATTTACGCAAGCACCAGGTAGCTATGAATGCTGACACATATCTATGATATTTTGCCAGTTTCAGTAACCAGAGGCATTCCTGCCTGTCATATTGAAACTTGAAAGACAGCAAGAACAATTATCATACACTTAAAGAGAAATATAAGAATAGAAAATCACCTAAATTATATTGTATAAGGAATTAATGCACGACTTAATTTCCTTAAAACGGTTTTTTCAATTAAAGACAAAATCCTAGGAAGAAATATGCATTTTAAGAAAACAAATGCCCACACTGTCTTTGTCCAAGAATATATGTCTCATTCTGCATATTTAGTCCATCCTCTCTTGGTCAGGAGGTGGGCAGCATTTTTCATTTTGAGTCTTGTATTAACATGGTTGGTCTACACTAAAAGTGCACAGCAATCTAAGTGATTCTGTGTTTAAGTCAGAGAATTCTAGAGTTCAGAGGGACCATAGGAATGATATCATCTAATGTCTCACCCTGTGAGGAAACTCTTCCTGCAGTACCCTGGACAGGTGGTCAGCCACATTTCTTTTTCAGTATCTCAAATAAACTAGATTATGGGGCCATTCATCCATTCTTGGATAGCTCTAGCTAAAATCCTTTCAGGAAAGTGCATTTATTTTATTATCTTTCTGATACCATACCGAATTGCAATTTTATTATATCAGTGACAGTCAATTTGCTTTTCACTTTACAGTAACTTTCTAGCACTAACTGCATGTGAAATAACTAATTTTCCTAGTCTAAAATTGTATGCAGACCTACTTCTTCAGGCAAGAATCAGACTAGTGGGAATAAAGAATGAGCTTTTGCATTTAGAAAAATGTAAGCTTATAATAGCACTATTTAGCTCTGTTTTCCCTAAAGAAGAAGGGGGATGGGTAAGGAGAATGTTTTCTTAAGAAGCTTTGAAGGAGCTGTAATACCTCTGGGCAAATCATATAACTTCTCTGGGCCTCTTTCTTCATCATTGAAATAAGTGAGTTCATCTATATGATTTTTAAGGTCACTTTCACCTCCCAAAATCAGTCACTCTAAAAGCACTGGCTGAACTAGAAATGGCTAACCATATTTCTTTCTAGGAATCAGTAATCCCTGCTATGACAGACCAGAAAGTCATATCTCTCATATTCAGAGTATAAAAAGAGGTCTTTATTTCACCACAAGGGTAGGGGAAAATTTGCTTTGATTTGAGGGACAGAATCAGAAGTACCCACTAGTGTAATGGTAGAACATGTGATTTTTTTTGACCATGGAACTTGATGAAGGGAGGACAAAAAGATTCTTCTACCACCCAGGTTGCCTTGGGTAAGAAGGTAGAGATAATAGGGAATGGAAAAGAGGTGATGGTTTCTAATTTTTAGATTTCTTAGTAAAAAATCCAAATTCATTTTCTCATAGAATCTAAGTTATAAAGGATTCTTATTTTCACAAATGCAGATAGGTAGTGTAGTAGATAAAGCTGGACTTGAAGTCAAGAAGATATGAGTTCAAATCCTGCCTCAGACACTTGCTAGCTGTGTGACCCTGGGCAAGTCTCTTAAATGTCCTCAGCCTCAGTTACCCCATTAGTGAAATGGGATAGTAATAGTACCAACCACACAAGGTTGTTGTGACAATCAAAACAGATAATATAGGTATAATACCTTGTAACCTTAAAAAAAACTTATTATTGTTATTGCTATTGCTTATTTAAAATGTTAAGAAATATCTGAAGTACAAATGAAATTTGGAATACAGCCCATTGTCGGAGGCAGAATTTTTAAAAAAGAATTCAATTCAACAAGAAGCTCCCTTTGTATGCTAGGAATATTGCTAGGCATTTGGCATACAGTAGGGGGAAAAAACATTCAATGCCTTCAAAGAGCTTTGATAAACCTTTTGGTCACATATGATTTGCAAAAGTTTATTTTCTAGTGATTAATCTTATAAACCAATTGTTTGATCAGACCCAGTTTTTTAAGGGACTTTGGAAGGGGGTCAATATTTTAATTTTAAATAGTGGACACAGGGCTAATTTTCATTTCTGTTATCTCTAAAGGTAAACTTGGATTGTTATTTTTTCATATCTCTCACACCACCGGCAATTCAGCCCACCTGGGTCTACTTCTATGGACAGCAAGAATTTAATGCAATTCAATGCAACAAGTAATTATTTATTACCTACTTATTACATGTAAGGTAATGAGCATTGCAAATGTAAGGACAAAGAACAAGATCCTCCCAACAAGACACTTTTTTCTACTGGGAGGATATACTTTTACAAATATTTAAATACAAGATAATTTGAAGAGAGATGATTTCAAAGTTCAGGGAAGGCTCCTGGAAACAGTTCCACCTACGCTAAGAGACAAAGATAAAGATTCTAAAAGGTTGAGGTGAGGAAGAAGGAGTTTGAAAAACACTAAGTGGGCTGATTAGTTATGTGAAAGGTTTGATAGATAATGATATTATATGTCAGGAAAGATAGGTTAGATTATATTCTTGAGGGATTTAAATGCAGCAATTTTATCTGAGCAGAAATGAAGAATCAAAACAGATTTCTGAATAGAGTAGTAAAATGGTTAAGTTCTCTGTACTAGGAAGATTACTTTTGCAACAGAATGGAGTAAGGCTTTGAGAAGGAGGAGACAAAGTGGGGATTAGTTAGAGGCTTTTGTAAGAATGCCAGAAAGAAAGCACAGAGATCCCTAATTAGATAGGAGCTATCTGAGTGGACACAAGGGAGAAAACAGGTAGTGATATGGAGACAGAATCAACATCATCCGGCAAATCATATCACATAGAGGCTAAGAAGAATATTCAGGAGAAGGGCGTGGTCAATAGTCAAAAGAAATAATAAGATGTATGATTTTGGGAGTTAATGCAAGGTTTTACTATTTGATTTTGGGCTATAGATTCTTCTTTTGGTCTCTCTAATACTGATGATAATGATAACAAGATATATAGAGATATATTTATATACCTACTATATTATTGCATATAGATTATATCTATATATCTTATCTATTTATATTTATCTCTATGATCTATTTTTCTCTTTTATCATCATCCATCTATAGCCATCTATCTATCCATTTATTCATCTAGCCCTATGATCTATCTTTAGCCATCTCCCTATATATCTGTCCATACATCTTTTATCATTAGCATTAGTCATGAGGAAGATCATATAAAAACACAAAAAAAATCTATATAACTACATAAGAGGATCTAACTATATATCTCATTATTAACATATATACATATAGAATTATAGATTATAGTGATATAGACATGACTATAGTTATCTTGTTATCATTACACTAACCATAAGAGAAACCAAAAAGAAGACTCTATAGATAAGAAAAGTATAGTGAAAATTAGCATAACTCCTAAAATTGTGTGTGTTTGCGTGTGTGTGCGTGTGTGTGTGTGCGTGTGTGTGTTTGCTAAGGAGAATGAAAATGTAAAGTATAATTAAGAAGCAACCTTTCCATTTTCAATTTCCTCAGGAAAAAAAAATGGGTCACAGAATTCCTCCAGACATGCTATCATTGAAAATTGCCACAACAATGCTATATTAGTACCCAAAAAACTAGCATGAAAAGATGATCTTGGAATCCCCAGTGACTAACACAGTGCCTGGAAAACAACAGATGATTAATAAATGTTTGTTGACTGACTGACAACTACTTCTCCTGTCTCTTCCTAGTATAGCAACAGAGTACGTTAACAGAGAGAGGCCAGGATGGCAGAGTGAATAGAGAGCCAGCCTTCAAGTCAGGAAGAGCTGGGTTCAAATCCCAAGTCAGATATGTATTGGTGATATGACTCTAGGAAAGGCACTTTACTTCTCAATGCTCTAGGCAAATCTCTAAGACTATAAGTTTTATAACAGGGAGTGACCACATTGGTTCAAGGAATATCACCTTGGAGTTCCCTATGCCAAAAAAATTGGTCTGGTCTCTATCTATGTCCTAACTAGCAGGAAACTCATAGAATTAGGAAGCTTCATACTCTTTCCTTCTTCTTTGCATATGAAGAAAGACAACTTGTGGATGAGGCAATAGAAAAGCCTAGATGTTAAGTGGATTTCCCTAGGTCCTCCAGTTAGTTAGTGGCAGAGACAGAAACCAAAGTGTCCAGATTCTCAGTGTGGTCCCCTTTCCACCATACTATGTTGTCTCCTAACACTGAGTTCTATAAGAAGATGAATACAATATGTCCCTAAGTTATTTTCCAGTCTGCTGAAGGTAAATTGTAAACAAAATGAAAATTAATTTTTTTCTTTCTTATCAAAGTAGAGAAGACTCGAGGGTATGTGTATGACAGTGTATCAGCTATGAAAATAGCTGTTGGTCAAAAATAACAGCAAATATCACCAGGTGGCGTGGGTCACAGATATGGTATTTGAATAAGCTGGTTCTCATGGAGACATATTGTTTACGGAAAGTGGGGGGAGGGGTGCTAAGAGAGAGAGAGAGAGAGAAAACACATCCATTGCAAAAGAGCTTTGTTGGAAACACATCATTCAAAAGGGCCATTATTGACTTGGCTCCCATGGTGCCTGACTCTGGATCTGATAGGTGCCCTTTACAGGTGTATGAAATTTAAGTAATAAAGGATCGTTTCCAGTCAATGTGCTTAATGAATAATGAACTGGCAAGACTAAATATTTATTAATATTTAAAATCTCCAAGGACTCTCTTGTTATTTTAAATATCAACAACAGCTGTGTAAGCTACAGGATAAAACATCAAGGTCCTCAGCCAGAATCTCAAAGCTAATTCATGTACTCTGCTTATTTAAAGATTGATTTATTTAAATGATTACTTAGACTAAGATTTAAACCCCTGATTTTGGCACAGACGATCCACTAGCTGGTGCCTTCTATTTGCAAGGAATCAATTTCTAGGAATTCAATTACTGAAAGACACCTTCTAGTAGCTTACTTATTTTTTGGAAATGAAATGCCAAGTAATTTAACTTCCAATCTGATTGGTTTTTCTAGGTATGCTTTTTTTTTCATTCACTTACTTATTTGATAATCAAGAATTAATTGTGTACAATGTGCATCAAAAAAAATTGGAGCAGGACTCTATTATCATGCAAGTTAAGTTCTACGCCCCCTTTTCACCACCACAGAGATGGGGCCACATAGTGCTACAAAGATATGTGGCACTAATTCCAAAGCAACCACGGAAATGAAGAGTGTTTTATTCCCATATGATAATCACAGCATATACAGCATCACTTGTAGATTGCTTCATGCTCCACATGACTTCATCAATACTGGAATAAATGTCCAATGGGCTTTGAAAGGCCAAAAAGATTAGGGTTCAAGTTCTACCTGGTATATTCTGACTCTGTGATCCTGGGCAAGTCATCGGCACTCAGTGCATTCGGCAATTGTCTAAGAGTATAATTTGCAGAGAATGTGACAGTTGTGCTGGTGAAGGAGTGTCCTCACATGGGAGTTCCCTATAACAGTGAAATCACAGGTCCAGGCCCTGTCCTTAACACTATATTTCAAAATGTGATTGCTGAGAAGGAGAAAGCCCATCTCCTTTGTGTAATGGTGCATTACTTCATCCAAATCAAATGGCCCTGTAGTGTGTCCAAACACTTGTAAATAAGGAATTCAAAGAACAGGAATATCACTTGATAACTTGAAAGAGAAAGAAATCTCTTACATCTTGTGATGGGAAAATCAGTATGTAGTTTGTGTGTGTGTGTGTGTGTGTGTGTGTTTGGATGCATTTTAAAAATATTATGCATAATATGCATATACATATATGTATGTGTGTATATATATGCTATATAATGAATAACAGAAAGATTTTAAAATGTTAAGTAAAACTATTAGCATTGATAATTTTACTACTAATAAAAAAAGCCACATACCTTTTTTGGGATGGCTGCATTAAAGCTGAAACTTTATCATCAAAAAATTTCTTCATTGCGAATCTGTCAAGAGCTTGGTCAGCACTATAGGAGAAGCAGAAAACATGTCATCAGAATTGTAGTTTTCCCCAAATTGCACTGCTGTTCTGAATTAAATACAAACTCCACTGGACCACATGCAGAGAAGCCTTGCTCCCTCCTATTTGCCCACCCCCACCAAAGATGTAGTATATAAACCTCACTGCTCAGGATGCTTTTATACCAAAGGAACATGAACAATTTAGGATGTAAAGGGAGTTCCTGGGGACTACTAAAAATATGAATTGATAATCACATACCCCTTTCCATTATTTGTTTAACTAAGAGATTACCATTTAGCTACATTATGGAGGCGACTAATATAAAACCAAACTAAGACAAATGACACTTGTTTTCAAGTTACCACCAAACAGCAAATCCACAGAAGCACATTTTCTTGGACCCAAGTTCACTGCTAATTAGTACGATGTGAAGCAAATTCACAAATTTTGTTACTAAGATGCTAGAATAGACTCCTCCAGCATTGCTGGAGAGGCAAAAAAGGAGCTGTCTCATCATCTGTTTAACAAAAAGTAACCAAAAAATAGTCCCAGGAATTGGTAGAGGACGGAGGATAAAACTTATAAAATGAACCCTGAATAATTTGATAATTTTTTTTTTTGCACCATCAATACCTGCCAGCCCAGAAGTACAAAGCTGTAGATATTGAGCCCGCAGGCAGATATGTTTCATCATAAGACACAAACTGATCTGGACAGAAGGTAGGAATTTTCAGAAGTCAGCTTCCAGCCTTCACCTGATTCTATTCTCCCACTACTATAACGTGTCATTCTAAGAGAAAGTGAAACTAGCAGAAGATTTTGGGAAGTTATAAGAGTCAATTAAAAAATGTCAGAAGAGCTGCACAACTGAAGGTGGAAAATTGAACAACACTTCCAAAAATGTTGATTTTCTACACAGGAGTGCTCCCTTTACTGGTGCTAATGGAACTCAAAGGTTGCTGTACAATCATACTCAGAGACTGGTATAAAAATTCCTGATACTTCCTTCACTGATTTAAGAGTTCTAAGTTTTAAAAATATAGGCATTCAGCCAAAGGAAACAGACAAAGCTCATGAGCATTCCTATAGGTGTGAGAATTACCCAGACTATATGGAGCTCAAGTACCACACAGAACTATATTTTGTCAGAGGCTGGTAGGAATATTGAGGGTGGTCTATCTCTCCAAATTCCTTCAGGTAAAATCTGCTCTTTGACAAACATATTTGTATTAAATGACTAACTCAAGGTGACCAGGAATATTAATAGGCCTGGCCCACACACAAATACTTATTCTCACCAATAGTGGGGAAGTGGGGTGCTCATTTTCACTTGGCTACACCAGTCAGGAAATTTAAGAAATTTAGGGATTAGGTTTTCTCCAAGGCAGGAAAAAATTCTTTCCAGAAAAAACACTTTGAAAGTCAAATTTCACTTCTTAATGGAAAAAGGGAAATAGTTTATCACCACCATATGAATGGTCTTTTAGTTCTTCTTTTGGACACAAAGCAAAGGTTGTATGAACAGTGAAGATGATTAAAAAGCTCCTGGTTTATTAGAGAGGTATGTTAAATAAAAAAAAGGATATCTGTGAAAAATTAAAACTGACAAAGAAGTAATTTAGACTGATTCTGTTTTGTCATCAGAAATGAGAAATTTATAAAGTACATCATTTATATCTGGTCTTTTACTCCACAACCGCATCTCTACCACTTACTAACTCCCTACTTAGAGCCCCCCAGAACACATGACAGTCTCTAGCTGAGCCATACACTTTCTCCAATTCCCAAATACATCTTTTCTGGGTCATCATCATCTCCTAAGTAAAAGCAGATAGAGATTATAAGGACACACCATTATAAGGACAACTGTGCAGGACACAGTTCTTTTAGACTTTCAGCCCCATCCTAAAGCATGAGTCAGTAATTGGTGAGTGTATGTACATATACATGTACATACATGTGTACATGCACACTATCCACCTATTACTTTCCCAAATATGTGTGCCATACCCTGGATCTACAACAACAGAGAAGTAGGTTACAAAAAAAATCATGACTTCGTTGGTAAGACCGATTTTTCTTCTAGCCATGCATGGGAGTTAGTCTCATTGTATTTCTTAAGCAATCATCATTCGAGAATATGAACATAGGTTCTTAAATCATTTCCAGCACCTCTGTGAAAACTGGTAAATTTCCACATTTTTAAAATGTTAAACTAGAGAACTCACTTTCACAAATATTTGAAATGGAAGAGAATGCCATGGCTGAAATCAATTGTCAGCTTTATCTATTTTCTGATAGTAGAATCATAGAAAGTTAGATGTACAGAAGACCTCAGGGATCCCCAAGTCCAACCCCATCATTTTACAAATGAAGATACTAAGGCCAAGAGAGGCACAAACATTTGCCCAACACCACAATGTCAGTTAATAGCAAGCCTGAAGCTAGAACCCAGGACGTTTGATATCCAGTTCTTCCTCCAGAAGATTACATTACAGACAGAGAAAATACATTTTATCTTATTTTCCCCTTACCTGGCAGAAACGTTGGTGAAATGCATGTACGATGATATGACAACTCCTATCCGCCCTTTTCCACCCTGAGGGAATGAAAGAATCAATATATCTTTATCCTAAAATGGGAAGCAGAACTGAGTATAAACTAGAGAGTGCCCTATACATTCCACAAATTAAAAGGTAGATCATGCTTAAGAGACGAAATCAAAATTGGATCTTTGGGAATTACTAATCACTTGGGGTTGCTGCTCTGACATTCTACGTCAATATATGGAGAAGAAAATCAGCTTCTAATTCCATACTATCACACTGGTGATGGAGGCTTTTTAAGCCAATGAAAGAAATCCAGAGCAGCTGTTAATTGAGGGCATTTGGAGAGGCTGAGCAACAATGTCCAATGTGCTGCTAATTAAAATAATACCAATTTACAGCTCAAGAAAACTGACAGCAATCTATTCAGTTTTATTTCACAGAGGCAATGCACCCCTTACTGGTCAGAATGAGAACTATGCACAGGGCACAAACTTGGTAGAGTTAAAACCATCTTACCTCAGGGACAGGCTCCAAAGTATCTGCAAATCAATGTGATGATGACCCCAAGTATGCCTTGGGGCACTCTGATTCACTCTATAGCCCTCTGTCCCTAGATATAACTATAGGCCTTATTTTCACTGAATTTTTTACTCCTGTTTCTTTATAATATTCTAATACAGTTAATATTTATTTGAGTAAATGTCTTACCAACCCCTCTATAATGTAAGCTCCTAGAGGGAAGGGAAAATGGATTATCCATCCTTGTACCTCCAGCCACAGTTACAACGCCACTATACTACTACTACTCTGCCCCATTCCCATGGTACTTTAAGGTCTGCAAACATCTCATTGATGCCAAATAATTTACTGAAGAAAGGCATGTGTATAAAAACATCATATGCCTAACCTCGTGCTGAAATTCAGAAAAAAATGTGCAAGTGATATTTTACCATGTAAAGTCACCCCTAACTGTGCAGCCAAAATTATGCTTTGATGCTTACCAATAAATAAATGAATGAATGAATGAATGAAGGCTTACTGGGAAACAATTTGGAGTTCTGCTTTTGGAATTATTCTTAGTAATGTGATATTCTTTGCATTCAGCTTTAATCACTAAATGTTCACCTAAATCTCAACTTTTTTATGGCAAATGGGACTGAACAGGATGAGGTTCATTTCCTTGAAAGAAAATGCAAGTCATAACTTTCCCAAAAACTGAAATAAGAAACATGAGTCAAAAAAGCGAAAAACAACAACAAAAAGAAATTTTAAAAGGAAAAATGTGAGCTCTCTCTTGTTTCCTTGCAGTTCGTACATAAGTGGTATACCCTCTTATAATAAAGAGCTTCACAACGATTTTCTCAATTTGATCTTCCCCATGACCCTTTGAGGTAAGCAGGGAAGGCATTATTCATTTTCATTTTTACAAGGTAGAAAGTTAAGATTCAGAAAGATTTACATAACTTGCCTGAGGTCACAGAGCTGGCCATATTTTTGAATTGGTGAAGTTTGATCTGAAACACTAGAAACTAGTATACATAGACAATATTCTCATGATAAATTATTTTACAATTTCTCAGCTCACCTCAATATAAATGACTAAGAAATACGGGCTTCGTGGGGACTAGGTTCTCTAAGTGAAAACTTATAATTACATTGAGTGAAAACATATGCATATATATATATGTGTGTGTATTTCTTCTCAATCAATAACACAGATAAAAAACTGGAAGGTAGGGAGAAGAGGGAAAAATATCCATCATTTACATTAAATTAAGAAAGAATTATCAAGCAGTAGTAAAAATCTGTCCATTTCTTAGCATATCCAAGCCAAGACAAGCTTAACTATCTTAACAATTTCTGGCATGATGGTCTATGAGATATTCATTCTGGAAAGCACAGAATTTTGACAGGTATCAGCAATTTCATCCAACAGTTATGATTTATGACAAGCCTCAGTTAAAGCCAACGCCAATAATTTTGAATTAAAGGTGAACAAATCTTTCATGGTTTGTTTTCTAAATGTTTCCAAAACTTATTAAATAGTTTACATGACACCAGTACAAATGACTAATAAATCACTTTTATGAGTTTTAACATGTTTCCTATTAATTCACCCAACAAGTTTTGTCTAGAGGTAAAAGGAACAGTTGTTCAGGGAAAGCAAGTGTTTTAAAGGTCCAAGACAGTAAATCCATCAGCTATTATACCCTGATTTATTCTTTTTGAGTACTATTCAGGCTAATTTATTTCACATATAGTTGAAGTAAGAAAGTGAAAAGGAATGAACAGTCTTAAGAATGTAAATGTATAATAGATTTAAATAGTTATTTTAAAAAAGGAATGGAAAAGGAGGAGGGAAAGCTCCAAACCTAAAATTGATGAGAATAAGCCCAATGATCATCACGCCATTTTTTTTTTAATTAGAAAAACCTATTTTTTCTTTTTTTGGTTGTAAGAATATGTAAATTTCTGAAAGAAAATCTGCCTGAATGCATGTGTTTGTTGTTGTTGTTGTTGTTGTTTTTTTAAGGCAATTGGGGTTAAGTGACTTGCACAAGGTCACATAGCTGAATGCATGTGTTTTTGAAGGAGCATGCATATGCTCTTGTTTATTGATTGACTGATTAACTGATTTGCAAGAGGGCTAAAGAGAACAGAGTCATTGAAAACAGATGTGGGAGAAGCGAAAGAAACAGTCCATTTTTTTTCCTCCATATTTTATAGCAGATGAGTAGGATTTATGTAACATGTGAAGGTTTGCAAAACATTTTAGAAATAGCTCATTTTATCCTCACAACAAACTCAGGAAGTAAGTACTGTTATTATCCCCATTTTACCAGGGAGGCAGGCGACAGTTGAGTGACTTGCTTTGAGTAAAGGTCTGAGGCTGGAATTTAACTAAGGACTTCTTGAATCCAGGCCCAGAACTCGATCCACTGAGCCACCTAGAGGCCCTTAATATAACTATCCTGTATCCTGTAATAGAACTGATGAGTGGTATCAAATAGAAATGAGAGTGGTAAGAGCTATTAAACCAAACCTAAGTATCCCTCCTGAGTGCTGGATATTGCCTTAGAGAATCACATACTGACATTATCTATGCTCTATGGTATTTTTATTCATTTGGTTAAATATTTTCCAATTACATCTGGTTTGGCAGCACTGGGCTGTCCTACATTTTGACACATCTTTAACAGATGATGGAATCGACAGTAAATAGTAGTATATTAAAAATGCTGATAAAACTTAATTCATTTTCATTTGAGAAGTTAGAAAATTGGCTCATTAATTTCAATAGATCTCAAAATCTTTATGGTAAATAGTCTCTAAAAATCTGCACTCACATGAGTATTGAACAATCCACATGTCCCCTAGCGTCTCCCTGTCCCCCGTGTTATACTTGGGATTTCATGATCTCCCAGATCTCTTCCATGTCTGAGATTGTCTGATCCTAAAATTTGAGAAGTAATACTCCTTCGTGGGGTTAGTTGAGATGGGGGGAGGGGAAAGCATGGCAAACACTGGGAAAACTTGCAAATGACAGTTACTTGGGTTACTCAGTCAATTTTAAATGCAAATTCCCCTAGGGAGTTTTAAGTCTACAGATAAACTGCTCTTTTATATGAAATACTTGAATCCATAAATTGTTACCACTTAACTAAGATGTCACATTGACTTTTTCAGAGGATTTACAGAGAAAATTAGAGAATGTATAAAAGGGGGTCAAAGTGAGAACATGAAGACATTGTGCACTTGAAGGATGAAAAATGGGGCACAAGAGATAGGAGACGGGGTAAGGGTTTGAAATAAGAGAGGATATTTTAAGTAAGGGAGCATAAAATTATCTACTTTCCAATGGGCTATGATAGTAGAAAATGCATGCAGGGCACTGAATTTTTTTTTTCTCATCTTGAATGCTCATTAACAAGTTCCTTTAGGCAATTGAACAATAATCATGTCGGACCTCTAAAGGCTGCCGCATACCATGCCTGCTCTTTTAGCAAAGCACCAAATAATAGATAATGAATAATAATGGCAACTCACCTTTATGTGAAGAAATGAATATATAAGAATATAAACCCCTTGAGGAGTCACATTGAATATTTCGTCTAACACATAATCTATATTGCACATAATCTACATTCAGTCAAGATGGCTGAACTGAATATAATCCTCTAGAATGCTGGTTCAGTTTATTAAAGACTATACTTTTCCCGCAGAATTACTAAGCACTGTGCCTACAATCACACATAAATAAAGAAGGAACAAACCTCCTTAAGTATAATACAAATGTCCTTATAAGATGAAAGCAAAATTTGAAAGGAGAGATTCTAAACAATTCAGTTGAGGCAATGAACATATTACTAGTTATCAACAGGTATCTTCTACTTTTTTTAAACAAAGAGTTTCCATAAAAGAACTTTTTAAAATTATTAAACTATCTGGCTAGACAGACCTACCTTGGATACACGCAATTACTCACTCATACATATATGATCCACGTTGTTGTAACATGTATGGCCCTCAAAATCACAAAGCAGTATTAGAGGGTTGCTTTGTTTGATTAAATGAATAGATCATCATCACAAGACTTTGTAAACCTTCACGTCATCTCTAAAGCTCATTTGGAGAACATGACCCAATTATTATTGCTAAATTTAGAGCTGGAAGACACCTTAGCAAACCTTAGGTCCAGCAATTTTCAAACTGTGGTTCACAGATGTCAGGGGGTCCCCAAGATCCTTTCAGAGGGTCGTGATGGCAAAACTATTTTTAAAATCATACTAAGATATTATTTGCCTGTTAAAATACTCCTCTGTTGATCACTGTACACAGTAATGGCAATATTGTAACAATCAACAATTGTGAATGACATAGCTACTCTGATCAATACAATGATTCAAGACAATTCCAAAGGACTCATGAAAAATGCTATCCCCCTCCAGAGAGAGGACTGATGAACTATGAGTGCAAATTAAAATATAATTTTCTCACTTACTTTATTTTTCTTGGGATTTTTTGGTGCTATGGCTAATATGGAAATATGTTTTGCATGATTTCACATGTATAATTGATATCATAGCTGGAGAAGGAAACGGCAAATGACTCCAGTGTCTTTGCCAAGAAAACCCCAAGTGGGGTCACAAAGAGTAGGACACAACTGAAATAACCAAACATCAAAAAATAATTGATATTGTATTGCTTGCCTTCTCAGTGAGTTGGGGAGGGGGAAAGGTAGGGAGAGAATCTGGGACTCAAATCTTTTTTTTTAAAAAAATGCTAAAAATAAACAAAAAAAGACATGATTTTAAAAAAGAATATAAGTTTAAAAAGAAAAACTGTTTCCTTCTTTTAAAACTACCTATCTGTATGAGGCTGGATTTTCTTCATATGCTCCAACAAAAAAACATATCACAACGGATTGAATGCAGAAGCAGCTAAGAGAATCCCGCTGTCTCTTACTAAGCCAGACATTAAAGAGGCTGTAAGATTATGCAAAACAGTACCACTCTTAGGCTCTAATAGCTTAAAACTGCACAAAGACTTTTGGGACATCTTGTAAATTTTTTTAATCTAACAGTTTTGATTTTTAAAATAGCAATTATCAATAAATATACCCCACATAACTAAAAGTTCACTTGGGTCCTTGATAATTTTTAAGAGTATAAAAGGGTCCTAAAAACAAAAGAAAAGTTTGAGAAGTGCTCACGCAGTCGAACTCCCTCATTTTGCAGATGAAGAAAAAGAGGTTACAAAGAGCGGAAGGGATTTGAGCAAAGTCTCAAAGGTAAGAAATACTGGAAGCAGCATTTGAACTCAAGTCCACTCTCTCTAAAGCCTATGTTCTTTCCACTATACTATGCCTCCTCTTTTCATTTTTTTTAGCCAAGTATAAAGTGAGAACAAGCATTTATATAGTGCCATAAAGTTTACAAAATATTTTATAAATATGACCTCATTTTTCCTCACAATAACCCTCCAAGGTAGGTGCTATGATTATTCCCATTTTACAGATGAGGAAACTGAGGCACAGAAGAGTTAAGTGACTTGCTTAGAGTTATACAACCAGTAAGTGTTTGAGGATGGACTTGAACTCAGTTCTTCCTGGCTTCAAGTCCAATGCTCCATCCACTGAGCCAGAAACCATTTCTAAAGAATGTCAAAGGAAGGAGAGTGAAAGTGTTTTGAACCTTCTTGTAAATTATCACTTAGACTGCTACTTTTCTTGTTGCCCCCAAACTTGGTGGGGCGGGGGTGACACAAACCATGAGGTCCATTCATTTCTCCTTAGGATAAAATTGAATTTTTTATTTAAAACTGAATTGAACTGAAAAGAGCAACATATAATGTATCTTGCTTACCCTGCAGTGAATGACCACTACATGCTGAGGGTCGCTGTTCAGCCAGTTCTCTTGAGCCTTACAGATGGTACACATCTTATCAAGGGGAGGGGCATGGAGGTCAGGCCAACCCACATCCATAATCTAGGAGAAAAGAAGTTATATTTACTCGCTCATTATTGAAGCAACATTTTTACAACATTCACTATACTTTGGATTACACGTTCACTTCATGAATTTATTGCTAATGTGAATAAGGAGAAACATGCTTCCATTTCTAAAAGATACCAAAGTGTTAGGTAATGCCAACAAAACATCCCTTCAAAGGCCTTCTCAATATTTCTGAATGTGGCATGCCAGTTCTAAGTATGTTCTTTCAGGGCTATTAATGGTTCAAGGATATCGAGGTATGGGCACAGAGAAAGAAGGATGTAGGAACAAGAAACACTGGCTTAGGCCGCAGGGGTAGGAAACCTGTGGCCTTCTACGGCCTTGGGTACGGCCTTTTGACCGAGTCCAAATTGTACAGAACAAATCCTTTTACTAGGGGGATTTGTTCTGTGAAGTTTGGATTCGGTCAAAGGGCATCACTTGAGGACCTAGAGGGCCCCATGTGGCCTCTAGGCCACAGGTTCCCCACTCCTGGCTTAGGGGTTTGCCCCAAACTCCTCGGATCAAATCGAAATCTCAGTCAGAAAAATACAATTGTCCACACAGACTATGCTATTTAAAAATCAAGGAATAAAATACAAATGGGAAGTAGCAAAATTATCTAAAAACAAAAGTATCCATAAAAGAAGGAAGAATGGAAACACAGAATCACAAAACACATTAAATTAGGAGAATTAGGCAAAGCAGCAATCACATGGGCAGATCTGTTATATAAACACAAAACGGGTATCAGCATTCAAAAATTGAAGTAGTTTGAATGAAGGTTATTGGGAATAAAGCCAGTACCTTTGGGTTAAGCTTCGTAAGGTCATATCTCTTTTCAGAGAGGTTTATCACCTATAAAGTGAAAAACAAACAAACAAACAAACAAACAAACAAACAAACAAATACTAAGGTTATTAGAAAAGCCATCACTTTCAGAAATAAGAGGAGAAACACAATTCCATTACTTATCATCTACAAGGTTTGTTAGACTTTGTAGTTTTCATGTAATTAAAAGGATAGGTACAAGGACCTGTGATTTCCTTGAACTAGGGAACTTCCAGGTAAGAAAGCAATTAGGTGGTATAATGGATAGAGTCAGGAAGTCTGGAGTCAGGAAGATCTGAGTTCAGATTCAGCCTCAGACATTTATCAACTGTGTGACACTGGGCAAGTCATTTACTCTGTGTCTGCCTCAGTTTCCTCATCTGTAAAATGGGGATAATTATAGCACTTACCTCAGGGTGGTTGTGATGATCAAATGAGATAATATTTGTAAAGCACTTAGCAGTGTTTGGCACATAATAGGTACTTAATACATGTTCCTTTCCCTTCTCCCTTCCTTTCTAGAACCTTCTCTGTAACTTAAACTCTTAAGGGAGTTGCCAAAACCGTCAGGTACTCATTCTCACGGTTCAAATATGAAAGGATAATTGGGGAAAATAATGACGATGACAAAAGATATCTCGTAGGGGATAAATAGCCCTCTGGAAAATAAATGCTTATTCTTAAAAGGGAAGCAGGAAGATATACTGAAATGAACACTGGATTTAGAACAAGAACGACTTGGTTTAAATTCTATCTACAATACTACCATGTCCTTCTAATATAGCTTCATAGTTCAATTCATTTGGTATTAAAGACTGAGCTCTGGAAGAGACCTTAGTGGTTATCTAGTATAGGCCTCACTTGTTTGTTTGTTTGTTTTTGATTTTAAAGATTAGGTAATTAAGGCCTAAAGAGATGGTGACTTGACCAAGGTCAGAAGGAATAAATTAAATAATTTTTCTGATTCTAATCCAGCACTTTCTCCACCATGTCACTTGGACCTCCAGATCATAGTATTTTAATACTCTTAATTCATTCCTGAGGAACCGTGCCATGTCTTCTTACAAACGCTAACCCCCTTCATTTGCATTCACGGCAATATCCCATTTATTCACCTTCAGGACCCTGCTCTATTACCTGATCTTACTCTCATTTTGCATTTTTACTATCCCACTTTCCTCCAATTCCTAACCCACTATTTACTATTACTACAATGATGACTACTACTACTACTACTACTACTACTACTACTACTACTACTACTGCTACTGCTACTACTACAGCTAGTATTCTTACAGAGCTTTAAGCATTTTACACATTCTATTTTATATGGTTCTCACAATGACCTTGTTAAGTAGGTGTTATTATTATAATACCCATTTAAAGAGGAGGAAACTGAAATTGAGAGAATTAAGAATATTGCCCAAAGTCACACATGTAGTAGGTATCCATTGTAAGATTTAAACCCAGGTACACCACTTTACCTAGCTGCCCAGTGCAAGGAGGGGCCAAAATGTTCAAATTTCCACTATCCTAAAAAACCTCTTCATTCAGCCTTATCACCACCACATCAAACCCAAAGGTGCTTGGGCCCATCTCAAACTAACCATTTTTTCTTAATTCTTCCCTGTTACTACCAAACTTCACCAAGTAGCTGTCTGTACTTGCTATGTCCGCTTATTGCTATCTGACTTACATCAAAAATACCAGGGGGTTTTCTCTCTTAATCACTGAAGATCTCTTTATCTACAAATCCAGTGGCGATTCCTTAGCCCTCATCTTTGATTTAGTTGCAATATTTTATGTTCTTGACTAATCCTAGATAGGCTTTTCCTTGACTTCAAAGAAGAAAGAAAACTCTCTTTTATTGCCTCAAGTGTCATTTACAAGCTCAGCTAATACAAAGCATTAACCTTCTAGAAACTGTTCAAGTAGTATGAATTCAAATATTCATCCATGCGCTCTCCTTTCATTTTTACATGACTTAAAAACCTTAGCTCATGTGAGAGTTTCTTGTATAGCAAAAATAATTTCTTTAGATTACCCTTTCTGGCATGATTTGCAATCGTATAATCAAATTTCACATCGTAGAGTTTTCCATCCTCCCCTTTTGCAGCAAGGGGATCATAACAGCCATTTTCCAAAATTCTTGAGAGATATCTTTTTTTTTCATATCATAAAATTATAACCTCTTGGAGAGAAAAAAGGCCTTGAGGATCACCTACTCTTGCCCCTTCTAGACATGGGGCAACTGAGGCCCACAGAATTTAATTACATGTCCAAATTCACACAAATATTAAATAGCAAAGCTGGAGTTGGAAACATAGGTCTTCTAACTTGAAATCTAGTTACACTATGTGACAGAGTAGGTTAGTATAAAACCTAAAATATAAATTCCTAGAGGCAGAATACCAGAGAACATAAAGAAACACTTCTAAAAGCTGCTAAAGAAAAAAAATCCAATAGTGCATTTGAATCTATTTATTATTAATTAGGGTAGTGACTGAACTGAAATCCAATGGCAATGAACTTTCAACAACAACTGTAAAGGAAATTCAGCGACATAGCTGCAGGATTACAAACTCATCCATCACATCCCAGATCATTTCATTCAGTCACTGAAGTTTAATGAGTACAACAGATGGCATGAGATGTAGCAAAACGGACTGCATTATATACACCTGTTAAATAGATCAATTAAGGGACTGGTCTGATCATGAGAAATGAATGGAAAGAAAATACTCATGTCAGTATGATTGAATTTTTATACAATATGACAAAAGATTGGGTCAGAAGTGGGATATTAACCTTCCTCTTTGAAGTACACTATATTCTATCACAAAAACAAAAGAATGAAAAAGCTATTTTACACCAAGAAATCCCACTGACATTTTATTTTTATATCGCTTACATTCACATTCCCAGAAAATCTTTAAGTATGAAAGCAAATCTGGATTCCTAATCACTATTATATGTATGAACTTCTTACCAGTGGAACACTGTATACAATGGCCATTATGTTGGTTGTTTTTGTTTAACTATTCATGGCAATATCTATTTTTCTTGATACAAGGGAGAACTCAATATGCCCATCCTACTTACCCCTACCTCTACTCACAGGTATAATTAGAGTTACATCAAAAAATGACTTTGCTCTAAGACAAAAGGCAGCATTGTGACTTTTCACAAGCGTGTCTTGACAGTATTTACCAAAGTAAATAGTACTGACTCTTACCAGGTAGTTATCTCCATGTTTGGATTTTAGCATCCGGGTTACATCTTGCAAGTTATGTAGATAAGTTTCCTCTGAGCAACTAGCTGGGAAGGAGACAGCGATGATCCGCTCAGTGATGTAGGTAAGATCGAGTTCATAGCCTTCCTCCATGATATGACCCAAGATGGCACTCCTGTGAAAGAGTGTAAGGTTCAAAAGTAGGCCCAGCAAAAGGGAATCAGACCAGGGTATGGAGGGGGAAAAGAGAAAAGATGAATGAAAAGTATTTTGAACAAAATTCATACAAATTTTTAAAAGGTGACAAACTTTAAGGAATTATTTTTTAAATTTAACTCACGAGCAGCTGGTCAGCATTTTTTTTTCAAAGTTTTTACTATATCAATTGTGAAAGAATGACTTTCAAGGGTAAAACTTTGACTCATGACTTTCTTCCATTTACCAAGTCCTTCCTTCCATGAAAATATTTCTTATCTGTGCCTCTCTCTCCATTCTGACTGTTCCCCTACTAATCTGGTCACTCAGAGTCTACAGCACGACACTGTGACAGCCTCACATAAGATGCAAAGACACTGAGACCCAAAAAGTTTAGGTGATTTGCTCTGGATAGAACCAGTAAAGAAAAGAGCTGGCATTTTAACACCTATTTTCATGCTCCAGGTCCTTTGTTTCTCTCACGATATCAAACAGTCTCCAAAAACTTAATCCAGATGCATTGATTCTGTTATTTTTTGCCTCCCAAAGTCATATTATATATTTAGTCAAACTGCATTCTCTTGCTATTAACATTGCAAGGTGGTGTGGATTTTTGTGATCGGGGCTTCTTAAAGATAAGTAATTTGGATCTGGAAAAAGTAAGAAAAACCATATCATACACTGGAAGGAAGATATAATGATTGCTTTCCTGGAGACCTAAGGTTAATTAGAGGCACAGATACATAAAAGAACTGCTGAAAAGAACACTTACTGAGAAAATTTATCACAGCAGAATGAAGAACTTTTTGAAAAACTGTCAGATGCCTGGGGGGGAAAAAAACCAAATTGTTAATCATTTTAAAGTTTCAATGTACATCACAGAGAGGTAAATAAAGCAAAATCTATGTTTTGTAACATGCGCTGTGTCAAACATTCAGACCAATGCTTTTATCAATTTGAAATACATTCACAGCATCCTTTATGCCTGTGCTCCAGAAATGCATTACAAAGCCTTCTGATAGAGGCAACATAATAGACTTGTCTGTTCTAATATGAGATTGGTAGGTATGTGAGTGAAAAGTAACCAGATATATTTAAGAAGCTTAGGTCCTATCTAGGGGTCCATCAGGACATCAGAGACTACTCAAGTATGGCTATCTTGCCATCTACCCTGCTGCTGCTGTTGCCCTTCTTCTTGCCAAGAACGGTGACCTTTTACATTATCTCTTCTCCTACTCCATCTTATCCTGTTCCAGTTATTCTATCTCATTCCAGATCTTGGCATAATAATCATTGCTATTGCCCAATGGCTACACATTCAATCTTTGACTGTTTGTGGAGACAATGACAGTCTTCGTTCCCAACATGTGTTACATCAGAATGCATGTTTCTTGACTTTAGAGACTGGCTTCTGCATTTTTATCTCCAGCACAATGCTTGGCACATCTCAGGTACTTAACAAATGACTACTGACTGACGGTTTCCACTCTAACCATGTGCAGCTCTTCATGAGCAGGCTGGCCTCTAGGTTATGAATAATTTGGCCAAGGAGACTTTGAGACTGATTTTTAAAATACTACTAAATAGTAAGTAGTCATGAATGGTAAGGAAGTAGATTTCAGAAAAAGGGACCCTCAGTTAATGGAAATCACAATATCCATGAAGATCCTTTGTTGATATAAGATTTTTAGATGAGAATAAGGGGTCATCTAATCAGTTCTTAGTTACGTATGGCTGCTGCTTTTCTTTTTCTTCAGCTGAGAAAATACCACCAAAGGAAGTAAAACCATGACAGAAACTGTTATTCTGTTTTATGTGTACAAACTACTGTTTATAGCTCTTCAATTACTCCTATCAAGTCTTTAGGGCTTTTTCTGAGGGGATTATTGCTTCCAGGATCATCTAGAGGCAAAAATAATCAAATGTGGCTCCAGGGTCTTTTCTTGGTACTTCACCACTGCCCTTTCCCAGTCTGGTAAACCATTTCCTCACTTGTCAAGTGCCCAACGTTCATTTCCCCATCGACACACTCTCTAGTTATTTATACTTCCACTTCTGTGCTACAAAGCCTGTAATTGTGTTGTGTACATTACTCCTACTCCCACAAGCCATTAGGACAGCAAATGCTCTTTCTAAGTTACTATGCCCAAAAAACCCAAATTACCTAGCAGCAAATGTCCATTAGAAGACTTACCACTTAGCTTCACTGGAACGGGACACCTGCCTGCATCTGTAACTTTTGAAGGAACTACCAAAACTTGTGGTCTTCTAACCTAGCCTTCAAGAATTCTGGGTTATCATCAAAGCCTCCAACTACTTTTGAAGGTATTTGTATTCTTAAGTCCTTTGTACAGGTATAAATGTTATGGTGTTACCTCTTGGAGAGAAACTTGCACCATACTAAGTCATATCTTTAATTTTGAATAAAAACCTGTGCCACAGTTGAATAACAGATGGATGATAGAGTTGACAAGGATCTCTTTCCTGAATCTCATAAATCAAGCTGCTACCTTCTCCTATTCTACATTGTAATAAGCTTGAAGTATCTACAGCCAGAGAGAAGAGTCTACTTTTCTGGAAAAATAATAGGAAAAAAAAGTGCTCTTAGAGTTAATGCATAATTTCATCTATCACTTATTAGTAGTCATTTGCCACCCTCAAAATGGTGGGAAGTGTAATGAATAAATGGCACAGAGCTTACTTTCATGTATGACAGTGAAGGGTATAAGATATATAAGGATGTCATATAAAAGGGACTTCAACTTTATCCCTCCCAGGTATCGGTCCCTACATAGGTTGAATAAGATAAGCTTCGAAATAAACCGCGAGTTACTATAAAGGCAAGATAAAAATAATTAATAAGCTAATTACAAATTTACTCATTATACATAAAGGTCAGTAAAGGAAAACATCTCCATTAAGAAACAGCTCCCATGTTTTTTAAGGGCTACTAAAATATGCTGGGCAGCCAGATGGCTCGAGTGCTAGCTCTAGAGTCAGGAAGAATTGAGTTCAAATTCATCCTCAGACACTTAATTGTGTGACCCTAGCCAAGTTACTTAACCCTGTTTGCCTCAGTTTCCTCATCTATAAAATGAGCTGGAGAAGAAAATGGCAAACTACTCCAGTATCTTTGCCAAGAAAACCCCAAATGGGGTCACAAAGGGTCAGACGTGATTAAAAAACAACTGAATAACAATAAATTATCCACATTAGCACACTAGCCACTTCAATTTTCATACAGCCCTCAATCAAAGGGTTAAGACTTATTTCTTCTATCACTGAGAATCACACACACAAGCAAAAAAAAAACTTAAGTATTTTTGGAGTGGGAGTGGGGAAAGGAAGCATCAAATGTTTCATTCGTCAGATTTTAAAATTAAAAGCAAAGAACATAATATTCAAGATATTCCTCATTTATATGTTATGGCTATTTCAGAGACGAATTGAAGGTGGAAGAAAAAGAGGTAGAAATTAAAAAAAAAAAAAAAAGAGAGAGAATCAAGAAATACAAGGAAACAAAAATAAGCCGAAAGAAGAAAATATCTATATAAACATAAGGTAATGGTATAAATGATAGAAATATTTTAAAATTACTCTGAACCCTGACAATTTTAGGGTCCTTAAAAACTATCTTTAGTGAGGGCAGCTAGGTTTAACAGTGGATAGACCACAAGACTTAGAGTAAGATCTGAGTTCGAATTCTATCTCAGACACTTACTACCTTTGTAACCATGAGCAAGTCATTTTACCTCTCTGTGCCTCAATTTTTTCATCTATAAAATAAGGAATGATAACAGTACCTACCTCACAGGGTTATTGTGAGGATCAAATGAATTAATACATGTGAAGGGCCTTGCAAACCTTAAAGTACTATATAACACTAGCAAAAAAAATTTCTAATTACTATGGTGATAATACTAAGCACATGCTTATATTCTTTAATATTGGTTGCTGAATTATTGTATACTAACAACACAAAAAAAATTCAGAATTTTTTACAAGTTCCCATTTTCCCTGTAATAAATAACATCCTTACCACTCTCTTTTATAATGAAATTTCTTTCAGACCTCCACTGAAGAGCCATCTTTTACATGAAGTCTTTCTAGATCCTTCCACCTATTAGAGCCTTTCTTCCCTAAAACTACCTCACAAATTTTCTCTTCCCATAAAAGGTAACCTCTTTGAGGACAAAGACTTTCTTTTATCTTTATCTCCTCAATGTTGAGCACAGGACCTGGGACACAGTAAGTGCTTAATAAATGTTTACTGATTAAATCCTTGTTTAGGGGCAGCTAAGTGGTGCAGTGGATACAGCGCCAGCCCTTAAGTCAGGAGGACCTGAGTTCAAATCCAGTCTCAGACCAAACACTTGACTCTTACTAGCTGTGTGACCCTGGGCAAGTCACTTAACCCCAATTGCCTTTTAAAAAAAAATCCTTCTTTAATCCATTTTGTTGAACATTTTTCCCCCTTCCTTTTTTATTCTTCGTTTCAAGCAATGGCTCTCTAAGGAGGGAAGAGGTTGGGAAATGAAAGAATTTATTTCCTTGAAAGACAAAAAGCTTCCTAAAAATCAAAGCTGTTTAACAATGGAAGAGACCTTTGCACAGAGTAGTGACCTTAACAAGAAGCCATTCTTTTATTAGATAAAAGGACTATTCTAAGGTTCTTTCGAGTCTTTGTTACACAACATAAAACTTGGAGATCTCAACCAATTATTAGCATTTTATCAGGTTTCACACCAATTTGTATTCTTAAGCCCTCTGTACAAGAAGTATGAAACAAATGACAGTTGATGATTATGCTCATTGTCACAATGACAAAGATAACTTGAATCGTAAATACCCGAGTAGCATTCAGGTATGTGACTGGTATGGCAAATGAAGTGTCTCTGCTAAATTTAGGCTTCTAACATCTGGCCTTAGTTAGTGATGTAAATTACCAATGCCATTTCTAAAATGAATCCTAAGACTTTAATATGGTTCCGATTTTTTTTGTACTTGGATAAGCATTTTGAAGAGAAATAAATTGCTTTTTCTTCCTCTTTGTTTCTTAACTTTAAATTAGGTGTCTCCTGATTGTGTTATGTGTGATACAAGAGTCTGCCACTGAACTACAATTGGTAAATTAAGAACATAGCCCAGATACCTGGGTGTCTTGATTATACTTGAAAAGGAAATTATGGCTTCATACGCATCTCTTCTATCATCTTATTAAGAATGAATAGTATCTGCTGAATTCTCCCTTTCAAGCTTATCAGAGTTTTTATTAATTTTTGTCAGTGGTAAACATATTCCGGATAAAAATAGTAAACAAGATTCCCTATGCTCATAAAAACTGCAAGGGATAGGAAAGAGGACTTCAAGCAGTAAAATACACGTCCATTATACAACTAGATCAGCTGAGTTCATTTCACAGGTGCCAAAGGCCAGAAAGTATAAATATGCAGTGATAATTACAGGAGTTGAGACACCCAAACTGGAGTCCTTTTCTTCCCTTCTGCCTCTCTATAAAAGTCAGAGTTAGGAATACCCAGTCATTTGTGACCTGATTCTGGTTAACTGTCTCAGCAATGCTTTTAGCAGAAATTCTGTGTCTTTTTACAGGCGTGAACTGTACCATGTGATTTGGAGAATTCCCACCTGTAGTGTTTTTGGATACTGCACCATTCTGACTTTGTGTGTGATTCTTGAAGGCTTGGGACACACTCTTTCCTAGAGGAGCACAAGAGAAGGTCCCATCTCTTTGAGGCCAAGAGAATGAGAGTCTCAAGATAGGAACCCCACAAGCCTGTCTACTGAAGTGTAATAGAAAGAAAAGT